GTGTTATGCCTGAAAGAGGGATACTTCTCTGTTTCACTGCAGAAGCAAACAACCTGAGAGAGGAAAGAAAACAAACACCTTCTTGGAAACAGGAGATTTATGTCTAATAGATTGAAGTGAGATTTCAATATATATATATATATGAAGAACACCAAAGAAATGCAGACACCAAGAAAGAAGAAGCTTTAATTTTTACCCAAGAGAGGAACAACCTCTTGTACAAAGCTTCAGATTCTACAGCTCTCTTGCTACAGGTTTCTATATATTTTTTGTTTTGGTCTCATCCTTGCCCGTATACATAGGTTATGGGCCCAAGTAACTTTCAAAAAAAAATAAAAGAAAAAAGGCCCAACCCACTTACAAAATACAATGGGCTGCCTTACCCAAAAAAAAAAAAACCAGTTTAATAGAAAGAAGTTTTGGATAAAAAAAATTTCATACTTTTTTCATTGATAATAAATAGGAAAGTTAAAAATTTTGCAATAAAATCCTGAGATCAATGAGATTGTATTCTAGAACTAAAAAGTTGACTTTGGCGCACGTTTCCCTCAAGCTTGGGGTGAAAATATCTTTCACTTCGAGATTATCTAGTATCCGATAATAATCATACATGTACATCTTCTTTTACATCATTTTTTACATTGTGCCACGTGGTGATACGGATTGGACAACCCAACCCTTTTTGAATTTCCACACAATGTATGTTGATGTATAAATTGATAGCTAGTTAATTTAGTTATTTACATTGGTAGATAGGAGGTTAGTTTAGACATTTCATTCTCAATTTTTCTCTATAAATGTTGTGCATTCCTTCCGGTTTCATCTGTTAGAAATAATAACAGATTTTCCCTCCCAAAGTTCTCTTCTCTCCCTCTCTTGAATTATTCCTTACAATTCCATATGGTATCAGAGCATTGAAGGTTTGCTGCAATGGCGTCAGGAGGATCATCTGTTGGAGATCTGATTGGTGAAGATGCAAGTTCCATTACCAATTGATTAATCACAGATCCAAGCAGTCCTTATTACCTCTACTATGGTGACAACATAGGTATGCAGCTCATCTTTGTCGTGCTCACAGAGGATAACTATGAGACATGGAGTCGTACTGCTATCATGGCACTGAGTGTCAAAAACAAAGAAGGATTCATCCATGGTTCCATAGTTAAACCGAATTCTGATTATCCGCTATATAGCACATGGAGAAGATGTAATCATGTGGTGTCTTCGTGGATCATTAATTCAATCCCAAAGGAGCTTTATCCAAGTGTTATGCACAAGGATTAAGCTAAAGAAATATGGACTGAATGAAAGGATCGTTACAGTCAAGAAAATAGCACTCGAATTTATGAATTGAAGAAGCAAATTGCTTCAATCTCACAGGAGAATGGATGAGTCAATTCCTATATCAATAGATTCAAAGGACTTTGGGAAGAGCTAGATAATTACAGAACGAATGATAATGGTATAGAATATAAGCAAGAGGATCAAGTTATGCAGTTACTTATGGGANCAGTTCCTTATGGGATTGTGTGAACATTATTCTAGAATTAGAAGTCAAATTCTGTTAATAGATCATTTGCCTCCACTAAATAAGGTTTTTGAACTTATTTTACAAGATGAAAGGCAAAAGGAAATTAGTACTAAGAAACAACAGAGTTTTGAGGTAGCTATTTTTGCCAATAACCTGGTGCATACTTTTCCAGAGAAATACTAGATTCAGTCCTCAGAGAAAGGAGAGGCCTATGTGCAGTTATTGTGGCATGCTTGGACATCTTAAGAGAAAGTGTTACAAGTTGATTGGATATCCTCCTGGTCATCGACTTTCTAAAGGAAGAAATGCTATGGCAAATGTTGTAGAACAAGCTTCCACTTGTGTTCAATCTAATGTTGTGGATTCATTTTCCAATCTCACTATCACTCCAAATCAGTGCAAGTAGGTGTTCGTTGAATTCCACAAGTGTACGGATCGTGACAAGTAATAAAGTGGATTTATCAAGTTCGAATATCGTCCCACAGATACTAGTATTTACTATAAAGTTTTAAACTAATCTAGTTGTAAGTTTAAATTAAAATGGTAACTAAAGATCAAATCAAATTTAGTTTTCTACGTGAAATTCTGATAAATAAAATAACAAACTAAAACTAAAACTGAAGAAAAGATTATGTGATGAGGTAGTTAGGATTTTCGATTTCACTTAGGTTATTTATCATACATTTAATTCCAATTTATTCAGCCATTTTTCATACGAGCTAACGATCGAATTAACCTATTGTATTTAGTTATCTTTCTCAAGCAACACTAATTCTATTCATATGCCCGAACTTACTATATTTCTATCTATGTAAATTCACACACATAAGAACGCATTATCTATAGGAATTCAACAAAGATCACATAGCTTATAATTATTTCTCGATCTCTTATAATGTCTATGTCAATTATTGCACGGACTAGAATCATACATCACTTCTCGGTCTTAGTATTATCCTTAAATCAATTAATTGTTGCGTGGACAATTAAAGCATTAAACACACAATAATTAATTAACAAGTATTAAAATGACATGAAAATCTTAAAATTAAAAATATAATAAAAACCTAAGCTACATCATCAATCCTAACATAAAAATATTTAGCCATTCATAATGTTGAAATTAAACACGCAAAAGTGGAAAGACATACGTGTATAATCTCTCAATTTAGCCTGTATTTTTCTCTGCTCAAGTTGTTGTGTTGCTGCTGACTATATATATAAGTATAATATTCAAAATCTACAACTCCCTTTTCTTCCAGCAGAATCTGCCCTTTTTTTTACTAATCAATGGCCGCCGTCTGTCTTTCTCCCAATTCTGCTGCAGCTCCCTTTTTTCGCCTCCGTCTGTAGGTATATAAATGTATATCAATATATGACCTTCTTTCTATTATTGAGGCCCAATTTACATAAGCCTCAGCCGCCAATTCTAGGTCAATTAGGATTCCCAATCCAATTAAATTATAGTCCCCCTCTCCACGTGAAACTTAAATTAAATTAATTCTAATTTCCAAGTCCTCAATTCCTTTGTGTACTGTAAGTTGATCCTTAAAATAAATTTATTTGCACAGTCCATGCCAATTTAGTCCTCGTACTTTGGATTTTGCCATTGTTCCGCTATTTTGTATTCTTTTGTTTCAAGTTTTCATTAAACATAAAGTTTTACCTACAAATGACAATTTAACATAAATTAAACGGAATTTAATTCAAAGGACAACAAAATATCATGATTTAGCGTCACGAATAAGTATAAAAACTACACTTATCACTAGGTCCTAGCTATGTTAGTAACACAGTTGAGAGAGCAATCATCCACTCGTCCTCGAACACAGTCCCATTCACAACATCAGGATACTACATCTACTGAACATTCAATGCCTATGCTTTTGCCTTCTCAGGTAATCGTGTTTGTCCTAACACTCATAAAGATGCAACAAAATGAATAATGGATACAGGTGCATCCGAACATATGGTGTGTTCTATTTGACACTTGACTACTATATCCAATACTGTCAGAGCATTAGTGAGATTACCAAATGGTGACACTGCTGAGGTCACTCATATTGGGACAATAAAATTGTCTGATACTCTAGTTTTGACATATGTTTTGGTGGTACCTTGTTTTACATTCAATCTAATTTCTACAAGCAAATTAACACTCAAGCATAGTTGTTTTATGATATTCTTACATGAATATTATTTTGTCTAAGATCTTTTAACATGGAGGAT